GGCGGCAACCACAAAACCACTCTTTGATACTAAATGACGTTTCAGTTCCGAAACCACTACAAAGGTCTAGGGGAATCGAAAGAACGCTGCCACTCCGCCAAAAACCTAAGAAATGTAACTAAGGAATAAAAAGTCAAAAGTCAGATTTCTCTCGAATTTATAACAATCATGATCCGTCTGCCGAGCCCGACAGAGGATGATCCCGACAGGCAGATGGACTAACTGTATTGGTCAAAATCTGACCGTCACGACCGAGATGACCAACGTCTCGCCTAAGTGACCGGGCAGTGAAAGATAGTATAGCCCGCTCCATATCCCTTTCTCGGCATCTGACGGGTCGGCGAGAGCGGCTCCTAAAAGCACGACTAAGACACTTTGGAGATAAGAGGACGTCAAGCCAAGCAAAGGACAAGGGTGCCACGACTATATATAGCAAGGGAAAGCTTTCAACAGGGGAGCGACGACTTCTCCTATCTCTCTCTAAAGCTAAAAAGCCCTCTTCTAGTATTCTTGATAGAGAAGAGTGAATCTCTAGGAAAACTTGTAAAGCGGTCTCCTCATCGATTGATGGGAGATACAATATTGAATCTCAATAAGATTATTTACATTTCCTTCATCTTAAGTATGATCTACACTGCTAGCTCTTTGATCTATAATTTATTATGTCTAACTAAGATTTGCCCTTTCATCTTTGATTGATTTGTTCAAAAAAGTTTCAATATCTTTTGAGTCAAACAACAGGTGTCCATGTAACACATCTATGTTAAGTTAAAGTGCCTATATGGTCACCTGGTAAGTTAGAGTGTGAGAGAGACATCTGACGTCAACTTTAAGTATCTCTTTATGTATTTTGCCTAATAAGTATTTATTTTTATATTTGCTAGCAAATCTTAGCCAGAGCATATTCTTGTTATATTTAAGGAATAGATAAAAATGCAGAACATATTACTCATAATATATTTATGAAATAACGAAGGAGCCATTATGATCAAGTTGAAAAAGATACAGATGGAAGATGAGAAGGGAGAGAGAGAACAGAATCGTCTGTATGAAGGGAAGAGAAAGAGAGAATAGGTTTTGAGGGGTATAAATGAGAATAAGTTAATGACCCATCCCTTAATTAATGAATCTTTTAAAACATATAGGCAATTAAACGTATATGATTTTATAATATGCCACAATTGTAAATGAATTTGCAATTTTGGAATAAAGCAAAAGTAATATCATTTATATTAATAATCCTTTAAAATAGATCAATCATGTTAAAAACTCTTTTCTTTAGAGCCCTTATACCTACGCTCGTATTAATATGGAGAGCTTGGGGTAAATTCCAAAATAGTCAGATTTACAACTGGTCGTTTAAAAATAGCCCAGTTTCAAAAGTAATCGAAATTTAGCTACTTTTCATGTAAAGATAAATCTGAGCGAAAACACTGTTCACAATCCGAAAATACGCCAGTATATTATACTGAAGTTCCAGCATAAGTATGCTTGAACTCCAACATATTATACTGGAGTTCCATCATAATATGATGGAGTTCCAGCATAAGTACACTAGAACTCCAGCATAATATACTGGAGTTCCAGCAAGTATAATTGTCCAGTATAATATACTGGAGTTTGGAGCACCGGTGCTCCAGTCTCCAATATATTATACTGGAGTCCGCAAATTATACCTGTCCAGCATAATATGCTGGAGAGCACCGAACTCCAGTATATTATGCTGGACCGGTCTCTGTTGAAGCAAAATAGTGGCTATTTTTTATTGACTTCATAAACGTTGGGTATTTTTGAATGACCAAGCTATACCGTGCTATTTTTACCATTAATATGTATGACGGGCCGAATGTTTTATAAGCGATTCCTATGGGCTTTAAAATCCCTTGTTCAGAAAGTAGTAATCTCGGCCCTTTTAAGGGCTGCTATTTCAAACGTAGCCAACATATGCAATGTATTTAGAAATATACGCACAACTTAAAAAAGAGCGACATAAAATTCCTCCTCCTCCTCATCTTCTTCTCCTCGGATGGTCTAATGTGTAAAAATGAAGGAACTGTTGGATAAACATAATGATAGATCAATATACTAAGTTATTGTTGAAATGCATGCATTATTTGCAATGTCGTCTAAAACAAAAGGCAGCCCATGAGGTGGTTAATTTTTTGACAAATTTAATCTNATATATACACACACACACACACACACACACGATAATTAGCGTTTTTATAAAATTTATGTTACATTTATTTCATTTAATTTAGGATCTTATGCCAACATTAATAAATTGGTAAAAAAAAAGAAGGGACAATAAGGTCACTATATTAATGAAAATGAATTTACTTTACCATTTTAGTTCATTCTCTTTTCTCTCTAATAATCTCCTCCATATGATAAACGAATAATTCTTCTTTTTTCTTGTAAGTAGGAAAAACTTGTAAGTTTGAGCCCTTGTTAAAGAAAAAAAAAACTATAAATTGCCGTTTAAGAATTATTTGATCATGAAAGTGAAGTCGGGAAAAAACTTGGTTTTAGATGTTGATCTATCATATTAAGTAAAAATACAAATGCCTATGACGAAAAAGAGAAGAAAAAAATTTTGAAACCATAAAATTTAGCTTGTTGGATAAACTTTCTAAAGTCAAAATATTGAAATTTCGAAGTAACTTGGGGCAAAAAAATAATCTAAATTCAAAGGGAAGGAAAAACGAATATCTTTCTTCTTACGCCATAGCCTATCTGAAACCAAAATCGTGAGAATTTTCAATTTTGTTAAATTTCAATTGTCAATTCATATGCAAAGACCATGACCAATTGATACACACAACTTGTCATCTTTGTAGGGGTCAAAGGATTTTAAATACGTAACTCTATACAATAATTTCAGTTCCTCTAAAAAAACAAAACAAAAACCCGTCTGAATTCGATCTTAGGGAGTAATGATATTATACAACTAAGAACTTTTTTCCCTGAAGATTCTAATACAATCCTTCAAACAAAATAATTAAGCTAGCGTCGGCCATATATTCCCAAATATATTTTGAAAAATCTAATTTGGGTGAAGTTTGGTTTGAAGATGAGAATGTGTTTGTTTTCAAAACATATTTCATTTTTTTTTGAAAAAAATATGAAACATGACTTATACCCACAAGTTCTAAAAACTATCACAAATACCCAACAGTACCTTTATCAATAACATTCATTATATTATCGCAAACCATAATCCTGAACATAAATAAATTTGGTACAAAATTATCAATTTTATAATGAACTACATAATACACTATTAGATGACCAAGGAGACGAAGTAGCATGTTATAAAATAATAAATGGTAGGCTCTTTTATAAAATATAAAAGTTTGGAGCAATTTTTTTAAAAATGTAATAGTGATATTTTGGGCCAAAACCAGTTCTTGGGAATTTGTCAAAATATAGATAAAATCTATAGCCAAACATGTATTTGCCAAAAAAATTCCAAATATATTTTAGCAAAATCTATGGCCAAATGGGTCCTAAGTTAAATGGTCTCACAAAAATATCATTCGATTAAAGTTATTTATGAACCTTTTTATGTGTAGAAACTCGCTAACCCTTTAGTTATGATTAATGAGCTCATAACAACGAGAGTGTTTTAAAATAATCTTTTATACTAATAGCCCGTTTGGCCAAGTTGTAAAAATCAGCTTATTTTGAAAAGTGTTTTTTTTTTAAAATACTTTTTTTTTAAAAGTACTTTTGGTGAGAAACAATTTGTGTTTGTCTAATTAGTTTGAAAAGCACTTCTGAGCAACAATTAGTGTTTGACCAAGTTTAAAAAAACTGAAGCACTTTTGCCAAAACAAAACTTGGCCAATCAGGCTATAAATGTTACGCACGTGGTACGGTACTTCTTAATTATGTCAGATACGTTTTACCATTATTATTCTCCCTGCTCTTGAGAAGAACTCAAGGGACGATATATCAAGCTTAGAAGCCTTAACACACCATTTATTTGCTCTTATGAATTATTTGGTGTGACCCTTTCCCGGACGTGAATGTAAGGTGCCTTATGTACTGGGCTGTCCTTTTTTTTTTTTAACTTGGTCGACATATATAACTGTTATTCACCATTCTTGTACCAAATATGATCACTATCTGTTCGTTTGTTAGAATCATGAAGTTAAATCTGGTCCACACGTATGAAAACTTTCATCAATTTAGTGTTTTCCATTAGATTTGATGAGCTCGAAAATCTTTTCTCTAACCCAAAATATAAGAATAAACAAATCCTATTTTCTCTATTGTCTCACTCGATAATGTACATATTCTTTAAACTATCCATATATAACTTAAATCACCTGCGACCTTTTTATAACAAGATACACTCTACCCAACATCCTAGGGGACATTTTACATAAACTTTTCATAAAATCAAAACAGCAAGCTTGTAATTTGGTTATAAAAAAAAAGATTCTGATTTCCTCAATCATGTCTTACGAAAAACACAAATAATCGCCCTCTGGTTTCAAAAAGCTAACAAAATTTGCCAAAAAATTCATCTCTCAAAAATAATCCAAACACAACATTTTTCAAAAGAAATTTCTAAAATCTATACTTCCATCTAAAAGCCCCAGGCTGGGACCATTTCAAGCAATCTCTTTATATTTTAGTATTTACTTTATTCTACTGCTTTCTTAATTAGCAAATAGCTGTGTGGTTGAACTTATGCTCATTTGCGGTAATTATGAAGGTCAAATAAATGTGAAAGGCTATTAGGACCAGATTTCTACATTTTCTTAATGTGAGAAAAATTCATTGGTTCTAATTTTCTCATATCTCTATTGGTGGTCCTGCTTCTGGATGATTTGAATAATCTTCTTTTATTGTTTTATTTGTTTTTCATTACAACCTAGTGCATGTAAACCTTTCACAAACAGATGACAGAAAGTTCAACCAAACATTTAGCTCCTCACACATTATAAATAGAGGGGTTTGCAATTTCATTTCCATAACACAAACAAAACAACATCTCAAGCAACAATGAAGATTTCTTGGTTTTCCTTTCTTTTAGTACTACTTGTTGTTTTTTCATCAACTTCATGGGCAGCTTCAGCTGATACTCATGAACAATTCCTCCAATGCTTATCCCGCAGTAACCAAACCTCCATTTACACCCCAAATAACTCTTCCTATTCATCAATCCTTCAATTTTCCATTCAAAACCTAAGGTTCAACACCACTGGAACTCCTAAACCTCTTGTGATTGTCACCCCTGTAAGTGAATCCGAGGTCCAACGAGTCATTCTTTGTGCTAAGGAAACTGGGATGCACGTTAGGGTTCGAGGTGCAGGACATGATTACGAGGGACTTTCTTATGTATCTGAAGTTCCATTTGCCATAGTTGATCTAATCAACCTTAGAACAATCACTGTTAATGCTGAGGACAAGAGTGCATGGGTTGAAGCTGGATCCACTATTGGCGAACTCTATTATAAAATTGCGGAGAAAAGCAAAACCCTAGGGTTTCCAGCTGGTGTTTGTCCTACAGTTGGTGTTGGTGGACATTTTAGTGGAGGTGGTTATGGTGTTATGTTGAGAAAATATGGCCTAGCCGCAGATAACATTGTAGATGCACGGTTGATTGACGCGACCGGAAGAATTCTTGATAGGGATTCAATGGGAGAAGATCTCTTTTGGGCAATTAGGGGAGGTGGAGGTAATAGCTTTGGACTTGTTCTTGCATGGAAGATCAAATTAGTAGATGTTCCGGAGAAAGTAACTGTTTTTACCCTTGGCAAGACCTTGGAACAAAATGCTACAAAGCTTGTTCATAAGTGGCAATATGTTGCTTCAAGATTCCACGAAGATTTGTTCATTAGGATCTTGATTAGTAGAGTGAACTCAAGTGAAGGAGGTAACAAACAAACAGTTGTAGCTTCATTCAACTCGATATTCCTAGGTGGAGTTGATCGATTACTTCCCATCATGCAAGAAAGCTTCCCTGAATTAGGGTTAAAAAGAGAAGACTGCATTGAAATGAGCTGGATAGAGTCTATATTGTACTTTGCAGGATTCCCAAGAGGTGAATCTCTTGATGTATTGCTAAGTAGGATTCAACTCTCAACGCGATACTTCAAGGCAAAATCAGACTATGTTCAGAAGCCAATCCCCGAGGGAGGTCTCGAAGGATTATGGAGATTGTTTTTTGAAAATGGAGCTGAAGGAGCAGAAGTGATCTTGAGTCCATATGGTGGGAAAATGGATGAGATTGCAACATCTGCTATCCCATTCCCTCATAGAGCTGGGAATTTGTACAAAATCCAACATTTGGTATTTTGGGATGAACAAGGAGAAGAAGTAGCTGAAAGACATATAAGTTGGATAAGAAGGCTTTATTCTTACATGGCTCCTTTTGTTTCTAAGTTTCCTAGAGCTGCTTATATCAACTATAGGGATCTTGATATTGGAGTGAACAATGTCAAGGGATATACAAGCTATGTGCAAGCTAAAGTTTGGGGGATTAAGTATTTCAAAAATAACTTTGATAGATTGGTTCATGTGAAGACTAAGGTGGATCCTTCAAACTTCTTTAGGAATGAACAAAGCATTCCTTCTCTTATTTGGTGGAAGAACAAAGGCGAATGAAGTTCCGGTTAAAGAAAAGATTATTATAAAAAATTCAATACATGTTATTATGTAATAAAGTACGTAAATAGTTTGCTTCTTCGTCGATTGTGTAATAACGGGCTGTGCATGAGATCATGGCACTCTGCTAATTATACGACTTGTGCAGTATTTTTTTAATGTAATTTGCTTATTCTTTCGTATTATTGTATTATTGATTGATAATAAAGGCTGTTTTATTTATTTTATAGTTTTATTCCTTGCATGTTGATTTTGTTTTTTTTCCTCTTAGTTTCAATTTGTTGAAATTATGACTCAGTGTGTCTTTATTTTCTTACTGTAACATTAGCCCCCTTTCTTTAATTTATCGTCTAACGTTTGCCCCATTAATTAGTTTTTTTTTTAACTTTGGGAAAAGTCTCTTTAAATGTTTATTTTGCTCTTGATGAAGGTATAATAGGATGACAAAAAGCAGAAATGTTAATTTGGTGAAGGTGTAACGACTTGCTAAACTTTAGAAATATCTCATCATTGATAGTTAGCTTACCAAAGATATAAACTCGATTAGATTATAATGGTCTAGCCTCATTTTTTTCTTGGTCTAACCTTCAAGTACTTAATACTTTTCTTTTGTTAGATACCGTTTTGATTTTTCTGTTAAAAGTGAGCTGTGACTTGGTCTCTAAATTGGGCACTATATGGACCACAACTTAAAACCCATACCAATCATATAAAATTCATACAAAATACAGTCATATTTCACTTAATTATAACCTCGAACCTGAGAATCAAACCTTTCTATCGAAAATTCAAGACTAGTAATCACGCAACGCATAAAAACATAGCCAAACACACTAATCATTAGTAATCTAGGATATGAAACAGAAGATTTCACTTTCTTACAGAATAATTATATCATCACACAACATCAAGTATACTTGGTAAGACCTAGTCAATAAAATCCTACACCTCAATTCTGGAATTCAATACAACTACATGTCTATTCACAAATAGCTAACGTGTAAAAGCATTATATCACTAGTATTTAATCGTGGAGACCATATGAGTGTCACGATCCGGAATTTCCACCTTCGGGACCGTGATGACGCCTAAGATTTCACTTGCTAGGCAAGCCAATGTTAGAGAATTCTCAAGTCAACTTCAACCAATTTTAATAAAAGAAATAATTAAGATAAACAGAAGCTAAAACTGAGTTTGCGGAATATTATAAAACCCATAATATCTGATATATTTAGGTTATGGAGTTACAACTCACGAGCTACTACGATTTACTACAAACAGAGTCTGAAAGAAAGTACACTGTTCTGAAAGAGAAAGAAACAGTAAAGTAATAAGTCTAGGAAGAGACTCCAGGGTCTGCAGATGCCAGCAGATCTACTTTGGTCTCCTGACGATCAAGTCCAGCTGCTAACCTCACGATCAGCTAGGGCCAGTACTAAAATCTGCACAGAAGTGCAGTGTGTAGTATCAGTACAACCGACCCCATGTACTGGTAAGTGTCGAGCCTAACCTTGGCGAAATAGTGACGGAGCTATGACAAAACACCCACATAATAAACATATGCAATTTAACAGTATATGTATGAAACAATAAGTAGAATCTAGACAAGTAATATCGGGAGGGAGACATGCTGAGGAGAATATAAGATAGAGAATCATAGCGGTAATGATAACTTGAACAACCAATACACCTTGAACCAATAAGAACAAGTAAACACAGTAAAGGAAAGTGCACGACATCACCCTTTGTACTTTTACTCTCAACCTCACCATAAAATCAATAGAAACGGTACAACATCATCCTTTGTTCATTAACTCTCATAACATGACACGAAATCATCCTTCGTACATTAACTCTCATAACATGGCACGACATTACCCTTCGTGCATTAACACTCATAATATGGCACGACATCACCCTTCATGCATTAACACTCAAAATATGGCATGACATCATCCTTCGTGCATTAAAACTCTCCCTTACCATAATGCAATGAAAAAATAATAACATGAAGATAAAATAATAAGTACAAGCCTTACTTCAACATTTGATTCCACAATATCAACCTCAACCTCGGAATCAATACTCAATTATCACCAAAAGATCCGTAAACATGATAGGAATGATCAATTTAACAATACTAGTCTAAACATGGATAATATGATCAAGGAAAACTATAATTACAGGAACAAGTCCCAACCGCATGCTATAAAAAAACGCATAAGTATTCGTCAACTTACATATACTTTGTACCCAATATCCTAAACACGTAGCAAATAGACAAATAAGTCCTAATCCCTCAAGTTAAGGTTAACCACGACACTTACCTCGCTCCAAAGACCAAACTCAAAGCTCAACCACCGCTTTGTCTTTCAAACAAGCCTCCGAACCAATAGAATCTAGAAATTTACCAACCAAACGATTCAAATTAAGCCTTAGGAACTACCCACGATTGTAAAGAATTCAATTTGGGTCATTATTGAAAAAGTCAACAAAAGTCAACACCCGGGCCCGCTTGGTCCAAACCCAAAATTCGGACCAAAATTCGATTATCCATTCATCCCCGAGCCCGGTTATGTAGTTTGTTTTGGACCCGATCTCGATTTGAGGTGTAAATCCCTATTTCCAAAAATTTCTAATTCTACCAATACCCCCCAATTTCCACCATGAAAACTATAGATTTTAGGTTGAAATCTTAGGAAAAGTAGTGAAAGATTGAAAGAAACTAGTTTAGAATCAGTTACCAAAAAATTGGGGAAGAAAGGTTCTTTGGAAAATCGCCTCTAGGATTCTTGAGTTTGAAAAATTTGAAGAATGAACAAAAAATCCCGTTTAAGTCATTTTTGATCAGTTGCAGGTGTCACATTTGCGACCTGGAGTTCGCAAATGCGAGCCCCGCAAATGTAAAGATTCCATCGCAAATGCAAAGATCATCACACCCCCACTATCTTCACAAATGCGAACTCTGATGCATCCGCAAATGCGACCCAATGATCGCATTTGCGATCACTTCCTACCTAGCACCCACTTCGCAATTACGAAGTTTTGTTTGCAAATGCGAACTCTGGCCTCCCCAGCTACTATTCACAATTGTGATGAGTAGATCGCAAATACGAACCGATCAGTGGTCGCAAATGCGAAGATTGACCTCGTAATTGCGAGGTCTGAGGCCCGCAACAAGAACTGAAGCACACTAGCAATGTTCTAAGTCCAATTTCACTCAGTGGCCTATCCAAAACTCACCCGAGCCCTTGGGGCTCTAAACCAAAAGTGCACACAAGTCTAAAAACATCATACGAACTTGCTCGCGTGATCAAATCGCCAAAATAATACCTAGAACTACGAATTGAACACCAAATCAAATAAAATTTTTAAGAAAACTTTGAAACTTCTATTTTTAGAATCGGACGTCTGAATCACGTCAAACCAACTCCGTTTCTCACTAAATTTTACAGACAAGTCATAAATATGGTATTGACCTATATTGGGTTGAGAACTAAAATACGGACCCGATATCCAAAAAGTTAACTATAGGTCAAACAATTCAAATTCATTAAGCCTTTAACTTTCAAATTCCGACAAGGTCCAATATCTCGTGCTAGGGACTTTTGAATTCGTTTTTGGGCATATGCCCGAGTCTCAAATTATGGTACGGACCCAACGGGACCATCAAAACACGAATCTGGATCCGTTTTCTCAAAATATTGACCGAAGTCAACTCAAATAAATTTTCTAGGCAAAATTCTTATTTTTATCAATTTTTAACACAAAAGCTTTTCGGAAATATGTTCGGACTACGCACATAAATCGAGGAGGGATAAAATGAGGTGTTTAAAGCTTAAAATCGTAGAATTAGGTTCTAAAACATGAGATAACCTATCAGGTCATCACAAGGAGTCACCCCCGCCATCATTGAATTAAAAACGATTTAAAATTATTAAGAAATAATTTTCAAAAAATAGAAAAACACCCAAACACAATCCAAACGATCTCAAAACGCCGAAAAATAACATGATTCACTACATAGCAGTGAGTTTTTCTCACCAAGTTGTTTCTGATGGACCCACCAAATTTCGGCTCAATCGGAGTCCGTCAAGTTTGTTGACCTCCGAATTCGGTCAAAATCGGGTTTTGCAATTTTTTAGGGTTTACAAGAAAATTCAGACCATTCCCATCAAATATAAATAAAAAACTGATATCTCATGATTACAAGAGTAATCCAAAAATTTTGCATAGTTAATTCGTAAAACATCAGTGCAGTTTTTCAGAAAACAACATATACATGTAATTCAAAAACACACACAAACACGATATTCTTGTTTCATGAAAAACCTAGTTATCTAATTAATTAGATTTGAGTGAGTTCTAATTCTAATTGACGAATTATTATAAGCAGTGAGAGCAACCCACTATCAAAATCACATGTAATCTAGACAACTAATATAAACGAGATTTCACGGGTTACCTCTTGAAGCATGAACAAATTTCCTCTATCACGTGAGACTCCAATTACACACCAACTCACCACCCGCACGATCATGATCGCCGAATATTTCACGGTCTTCTACTGTGTTACCCAAATAATATCGAAAAATATATAGTAATTTCATGTGGGTAAAATTTTCTAGGAAAAAGGCTGAAACATTCGACCACATTCTCTTCTTCCTTTAGGTGAAAAGCCTTATGTATTTATAGCACAAATTTTAAGGGCTAAATTCCTTTTCCAAAACTTACTGGGTTTTCTTTTCTACTAGAAAAAAGATTCCTTTATTTCCTATTGTTTAATTAGGCACAATAAGGGCCACATAATTTAATTAACAAGGTTTCCAATTATGGAATTAATTTATAATTTTTAAAATTAATAGCCACCATAATTAATTACGAATTATTCTACTAAAAATTCGTAATTGCACTCTTTATTCAATTTCGAAATTCATCCATTAAATCTAGCTTCTTGTGTTAAGATCCAAATACTAATAAATTAAATTAAATTACTGAAAATTTAGTTTATTGATTTTTTCCTTTAGACCTTTGCTTAACTTATTTTGTGTGTCAGATACAAAATTCACCGACAGGATTTACATGAAAACTTAAAGCTTTCATAAAGGTGTATCATCAATCTATAAACCGAGATATGGATTTCATCAACTAACTATTATTTTGCCAATGTATATTATTATTATTATTGTCCAATTTACCAGAC